TCCTGGCTGTACTATATCTAAGTCTTCCTTGAAAACATACAACATTTTGGCCTCACCACTTTCTGTGGCAGAGAATCTAACAGGCTCACCACTCTCTGGGTGAAGACATTTCTACTCATCTCAGTTCTAAATAGCCTGCCTTGTGTCCTGAGGCTGTAAAGCCTTTTTTTTTCTGGTCTCTTCCGTCCTTGGGAACATCTTTCCTGTGTTTACCCTGTCTAGTCCCGTTAGAATTTTATAGGTTTCTGTGAGAACCGCACCTCATTCTTATAAATGCCAGTGAATATCACCAGGCTAGTGTCTCTTCATGCATCCCAGGAATCAGTCTGGCAAACCTTTGTTGCACTCCCTCTATGGTCAGAACATCCTTCCTCAGATAAGGAGACCAAAACTCTCACACTGCTCCAGGTGTGATCTCATCAAGGCCCCATACAATTGCAGCAAGGCATCCCCGCTCCTGTTCTTGAATCTTCTCACTATGAAGGTCAACACACTATTTTCCCTCATTGTGCCTTTGATGCCATAGAGTCATGGAATCATACAGCATGGAAACAGCCTGTTAGGCCCAACTAGTCCTTGGTGACCAGGTTTCCTATACTGAACTTCCATTTGCCTGCAGTTGGCCCATATTCCTCTAAACGTTCCCAATTAATTTTCCTGTCCAAAAGTCTTTTAAATGTTGTTATTGTGTCCGTCTTTACCACTTCCCCTAGCAGCCCATTCCCTATATGCGTGTGGCTGGTTCGGAATCCACAGTGTCCTCTCCTTCTTATGTTCTGCTATAGAGGTTTCAAATAGCTGGGATGCTCACTTGGCTCTATCAGAGGGCAGTTAAGAATGAGCCACAAAAACAGAAGTTGCTGGGAAAGCTTAGCAGGTCTGGCAACATGTGTGAAGAGAAAATCACAGTTAACGTTTCAGGTCCGGTGACCCTTCCTCACAACTGGTTTGTTAACTCTGATTTTTTCTTCACAGATGCTGCCAGACCTGCTGAGCTTTTCCACCAACCTCTGTTTTTGTTCCTGATTAACAGCATCTGCACATTTGAAGTCATAATCTTCTGGCACTTAAGTATGAGATCACGGGTGCTATAGTACCTCTCAGTCCAACTGTTGTTCTGTTTGCTGTACCAACACCTCTCAAGCACAATGCAAATTGTCTGTGAGCTGTTCAAAGGGAATAGAATTAATGAGGCAACAGAAAACAAAATCATTTCAACTCACTCCAGATATTTCATCAAAGTTCCTCAGAGCTCTGTTGAATATCAATAAATTGGATTACAGGTGATTATTAGGGGAAAACATAACTCAACAACCTTGAACATTAATCATCAAGATTTGAGTTTAATTTCCCTCAGGATATGTGGTAAAGTGAAAACTAATTTAAAAGTGTTGCTTTGAGAAATAATGTTTTAGGGGGTCAGATTGATTGGGAACTATTTGTAATGAAATAAATGTATTTCGTCTAATTGATATCTGGTTTCACTCCGCATTAATGCATCCAGGTATATTTTTTAAAGGTGAAAATATGGACGCACTTTTCAATTTTGCTCAACTTCTGCCACCAATTAACATCACATTGGAATTAAATGTCTTGTATAAATAGGACTGGAAGAACAAGTAACTGGGAGACACATAAGAACCAAGGAACTAGATGGGAGGAGATGGCCTGGTGGTATTATTGCTGGACTGCTAATCTAGAGACCTAGGCAATGTTTTGGGGACCTGGGTTCAATTCCTGCGATGTGGTTGACACTTAACTGCCCACTGGGCAATTAGAGATGGGTTATAATGTTGACATAGGCAATGATGCTCTCATCTTGTGAATGAATTTTTAAAAATTCGGGAGGAGGCTATTTGGCCCTTCGAGTCTGCTCTCCCATTGAATTAGATCATGCCTGAACTTCTACCTTGACATCATTTTCCTGCACTGTCTCCATATCCGTTAATATTTTTTAATTATCTAGGAATCTATTGATCTCAGTCTTGAATAAAAATGATTCGGCCTCCATCATCCTCTGAGGTAGAGATTTCTAAAGATTTACTACCTTTTAAGTGAAGAAGCCCGTCCGCATCTCAATCCCAACTGGCCGACCGCTCACTCTGAAATTGTGTACCCTGGTTCTGGCAACCTCAGACAGGGGTAAACCTCCTTCCTGCATCTACCGTGTTGAACCCTGTAAGAATTTAGTGTACTTCAATGAGATATCCTTGTTCTTCTAAACCCTCAAAAATCTAACCTCCTCAATCTCCCTTCCTCATGGGACAATCCTGCCATCCAAGGGATCAGTGTGGTTGCATTCCTTCTATGGCATGTATGAAAAGCCTTTGAAAGGCCTGCTCCTAATCCTATTTTGAGTCAGATAAGGTAGTAGATAGGGGAGATGGTCACCCTATCTGCCTGCCTCTCTTCCACAGTCTCATATGTACCCAGATGGCTCTGGAAGGTGGTTATGCAGACTCAGCCTGCAAAGGTATCCAATCATCACCTCAGTGACTGGTGGCTATACTGGAGACAATGGGCAACACATTGATGTCACTCCATCTTTTAAGAGGAACGAAAGAGGAAAGCCAGGCAATTACATACCAGATAGTCTAATATATGTGGTTGAGAAATTGTCGGAGTCTATAATCAATGATGAGGTAACTGAACACCTTGAAATTTTCAATTATTAAGGGAGAGCCTGCATGGATTCATGATAACTCATTGACTTTTTGAAGCGGTTACTAAGAGGAATGTCTATGGATATTGTTTATATAGACTTCCAGAAGACATTTGATAAATTCCCATATGAGAGACTGGTGACTACAGTAGAAGCCCATGGGAAAGCGGGCAAATTACTGACCTTTCTGGGAAGTTGGTTGAGTGGCAGGTGACAGAAAGTAGGGATAAGGGGTAGGTACTCAAATTGGCAGGATGTGACCAGTGGTGTCCCACAAGTTTCTGTGTTTGGGCCTCAATTATTCATGTTATGTATTAATGACTTGGTTAACAGCACAGAAAGTCATATATCCAACTTTGCTGATGACACAAGAGTTAAGTGGTATTGCAGACAGTGTAGATGATGGCATACAGTTAAAAACAGATATTGATCAGATGTAATTAAATGGGCAAAACTGTGGCAAATGGAGTTTAATGAATGTAAATGTGAGGTTATCCATTTTTGGACTGATAAGGATGAATCAAAGTAGTTTCTAAATGAAGTTAAATAGAGTGGATGCCCAACAAGACTCGGGGGTTCAGGAGCATAAATGTTTAAGATGTCAAGAATAGATGCCAGAAATTATCAAGAAAGCTAATAGAATGTTGGCCTTCATATCAAGAGAACTGGAATATAAGGATGCAGACGTTATATTGCAGTTACACAAAACCTTGGTTAGACCCAGTTGGAGACTGTGAGCAGGTCTGGAAATTACATATTAGGAAGTATACATTGGCCTTAGAGGGAGTACAACATATATGTCAAGAATAATACCTGGATTTCAGGGGTTAAGATTAGAGAAAACATCATACAAATTAGGCCTGGTTTCTCTAGAATTTAGATGGTGAAGGGGTGATCTGATCGAAGTCTTCAAGATATTAACAGGAAAAATCAGGGTAGATAAAGATAAACTATTTCCACTGGTTGGGGATTCTAGAACTAAGGGGCATTGACTGAGAATTAAGGCCAGACCTGACAGGAGAGATGTTAGATATAACTTTCGTACACAAAGAGTGGTAGATGTTTGGAACTCTCTTCTACAAATGGCAATGGATGCTGGATCATTTGTTAATTTTAAATCTGAGATAGATACATTTTTTGTTAAGCAAAGGGCGTTAAGGGAAATGGGCCAAAGGCAGGTATATGGAGTTAGGCCAGAGATAGCCATGATCTCATTGAATGGTGGAACAGGCTCAAGGGGCTGAATGGCCTACTCCTATTCCTATGTTCCTATGGATGTTTCCTTTGGATTGTCATTTTGCCTGTTGTTAGCTGCACTTCCTTAAAAAGGAGACCAGTTCTGCTGAAGAATGGGGCACCCCATTATTTTTTAATTCACAGTGCAGTATTTTCATTAGATTTGAAATAAATGGACTTTAATTTGTGGATATTTAGCAAAAGCCTCGTTTGACTTGCTATCTCCATCTCTGCTGAGATAGACAATTGTGGCTGAAGTTGGGGAACAGATGTCTTGGTAATCTCCAGTCTTTGTGGAAGAAAGGAAGGTCAGGAAAATATTTGGCCATGATTCTCGCTCTTCAGTGCAGTCCAGTGAACCCTGGCAACTTTGGTAGTAGCATTAGATCTGTCTGCACTCAACTTTCTCTGTTGCTTGTCTTAGAAATGCTTACATTGAGGGTGGAACATATAACAACCCAAATGGATCATCTTAATTGTCTCATATTGATTACCTGGATGGTACTGAATACAGAAGTAATTTCAGCCAATATTACACAACCTGCCCTCAAAATGTAACCCTTTATTTCTTTCCCCTTTTTAACCCTTGATGGGAAGTGGCCACAACAGATAAAACCAGCAATTGTTACCCATCATCGAACTGAGTGGTTTATTTATCTATTTCAGAGGGCCATTAGGAGTCAACCACATTGATAGGTGTTGATTTCATTGTCACTCTTGCTGAACTGAATTATTTTAATTATTGAATTTAAATCTCACCAGCTGCTGCTTTAGCATATGATGTACGTCCCTGAGATGTTAGCTTGAGCTCCTGATTTATGAGTCCAGTGACAATACCACTATGCTACCACGTTTCTCTGCTGCCTTCCTGCTAAAACAATGCTTTATCCACCTCCAGGAATTATCTGTCCTGAGGTGCAGAGTCAAAAGATGCATGTAACAACCCAGGTGGGATCTGCAGTAGAAATATTGAGAGGTTAAAAGGTTTGGGATAGAGAGATGAATATGGCAGACGTTCCTGTTAAGAGGTAAACCAGATGGAGGTGGCGTTCAAGACCCTGTATTTAACCATTTCTTTTCTTCTTTTGTTTTTGTGACCCAGTGGACCGATGACCCATTTGCCTCGCACATCCAGGATTTCCAAGGCTTTCAGACACAGCGGCAACTGAAGGAGAACTTGTACAATAAAATCATCGAATACTTTGACAAGGGCAAGGTAAGACCTGCCAACAAGAGTAACGCTCTCTCTGCTAGCTCTCAGGGCCATCCTTAACCCATTGACCCTGGGGATAATTCTGTCCAGTCACTGCTTCAAAGAGACAAAAATATCTTGCATTTTTGTAGCACCTTCCACAACCTCAAGACCTCTGAAAGTATTCTTCAGGCAGTGAAGATTTTTTTTATAAATGACAGCCATCTCTTTTGGTGTTGGAAATGCAGTGGAAATTTTGCGCATAGCAAGTTCTGATAAACAGCAAGAAAGGCACAAGCAAATAATTTGTTTTTGTGGTGTTGATTGAGGAATACATGTATGCCTGAACATTGGGAAAACCTCCTCTGCTCTGATTCACAATAAGCCATTGTGGTCAGATTTCCTCTTGTCTGTAATTTTTAAAAATACTCTCTTTGATTTGACTCTGAAACAGAGAAGGGTTACCAGCACAAAAAGTGCAGAGTTCCTGCTGTACACAACAGTGTTTAACTCCTATAAATAACCAACAATATAACCAGCACTTCTGTACATAAACTAAGGAGAGACATATGTTCGGAAGTCAAACAAAACGTCACTGAGAAGTAATTGCATCATGCAGTAATGAACAGTGGCCAGAGGTAAGATAAGTGTTTTACTTGAAGGAAATAGCTTTAAAGTGATCTTGTTGTAAGAGCTTCACATTCTAGCCATTAAATAGCTATATTTAGGTTTGTAATATCTTCTGGTAGGAGTCTGAAAATCCATAGCTGAACAAAGGTTCATGATGCTTGTGCTCAATACGAAAGAGAGAAACAAAATATTTGCTCTGGGGGGTTTCAAACTGGTGAATACAGGGAATATAGGTAATTCACAGAATCACAGGAGTGTTTCAGTACAGAAGGAGGCCATTCAACCCATTACATCTACACCAGTTCTCAACATTTCAAAATCGTGACAATAACAAGGACACCTATGTCAGAGACAGTAGGAACTGCAGATGCTGGAGAATCTGAGATAACAAGGTGTAGAGCTGGAGGAACACAGCAGGCCAAGCAGCATCAGAGGAGCAGGAAAGCTGACGTTTCGGGTCTAGACCCTTCTTCAGAAATGTCAGACTTCTATTTATTGACTTTAGCTCTGCTTTCAAAAACCATAATTCCAACCAAACTCATCTCCAATCTCCAAGACTTAGGACTCTGCTCCCCCACTCTGCTACTGAATCCTTGACATCCTGACCCGCAGACCGCAATCAGTAAGGATAGGCGACAATGCCTCCTCCATGATAATCCTCATTGCCGATGCCCCACAAGGCTGCATACTCAGCCCCTTACTATACTCCTTATACACTCAAGGCTGCGTGGTCACATTCTGCTCTACCTTCATTTACAAGTTGGCTGATGACACCACTACCCTGGGTCCAATCTCAAACAACAGGAAAGAGATAGAGAGCTTAGTAGCATGGTGTAAATGCAACAATCTCTCCCTCAATGTCAGCAAAATGAAGGAGCTCGTCATCAACTCCAGGAAGCAGTGTGGAGGACACCCGCACCCCCTGCCTGGATCAATGGTGCTGAAGTGGAGGTGGTCAAGAGCTTCAAGCTCCTAGGAGTAACTATCATCAACAATCTGTCCTGGTCCATCCACCTTGACGCTACTGTCAAGAAAGCACACCAACACTTCTACTTCCTCAGGAGGCTAAGGAAATTTGTCATGTCCACAGTGACTCTTACCAGATTTTTTTGGATGCATCATAGAAAGTATCCTATCCAGATGTATCACAGCTTGATATCGCAACTGGTCTGCCCAAGACCACAAGAAATTACAGAGAGTTGTGAACACAGCCCAGTCTGTCACGCAAGCCAGCCTTCCATCCATTGACTCCATCTATACTTCCCACTGCCTTGGAAAGCAGCCAACATAATCAAAGACCCTCCCACCCTATTATATTCTTTTCCACCCTCTTCCGTCAGGCAGAAGATAGAAAAGTTTGAAAACACGTACCAACAGATTCAAGAACAGCTTCTTCCCCGCTGTTATCAGACTTATGAATGGACGTCTCATATATTAGAGTTGATCTTTCACTGCATCTTCTCTGTAGCTGTAACACTATATTCTGCATTCTGTTCTATTATCTTGTTGTACTTACGTAAGGTATGACTTGTCTGGTTAGCACACGATACAACACTTTTCATTGTATCTCGATATGTGACAATGATACATCAGATCAAATCAAATCAAATCTCCTGCCTTTTCTTCATAACCCCGCATGTTATTTCAGTTTAAGTCATCATTGCCTTTGTCAGTGCCTCGATTGAACATGTCTCTACCCACATTTCCAGGCAATGCATTCCATAATCTAACTGCTTGCCATGTGAAAAAGTTTCCTCTCACCTTGCATTTGCCTCTTTTGTATTTTAAAACAGTGCCGTCCATTTCCAAATGAAGCACTTCCACCCTGCCCACTTTGTCCAGTCTCCTCCTGACTTTGAAAACTTTTATCAAATCTCCTCTTAAGCTTCTCCTCTCCAAGGAAACCAGTCCCAACTTCTCCAATCTTTCCTCACAACTGAAGTCTCATCCCTACAGCCATTCTCATAAATGTCTTCTTCTTACGTTCTCTGGCTGGATGCAGGTGGCATTAAGCAGCCTATGAATCAGTAGTTATCGGGGGTAAACTCTCTGGTTGGGGTCATACCTGACACAAAGGAAGATGGTCGTGGTTACAGGAGGTCAGTCATCTCAGCTCCAGGACATCTCTGCAGAAGTTCCTCAGTGTAGGGTGTCCTACATTCCTTGGCCTTTTGTTCCTGGATGGGACTTGAAAGCAGACCTTCTAGTTTAGAGGCAGAGGCACTACTCATTGTGCCATATGATCTCTAATGAGGTCCTGATAGGCAAATGGTATTCTGTGAGATTGTGACTAGAGGTGAGCTCTCCCTCTACATCTTCTCAACCAGTTTGCACCCCTTTACATGGGTTATGAAACTAACCTCCGCTGACATTTCTCCACTGTCATCCAACAGGGTGACCATCTTCTTTATATATGAGGATACAGCATTATGTGGCTCAATCTCATATTATGTCTGTTCATGCTCTAGTGAAAAGCTTTGGGATATTTTGCTGTATGTGAACGTTGAGCGATTACTTCCTTGAATTGCAGTGGCGAGATGTTCTGTGAGTTTTTGGTGAGGTGCCGAGCTAGATGAACAAACCTTTCAATAAGGGTGAAACCCCCCAGTGCATTCTGCACTCTGTCAATACAGTCCAGTGCTCCAACGCTGCTGCTGACCCTGCTGCAGTCTGTCTCAAAGCCCAGTATGCCACAAAGGGAGGAAGCAGAATAAATCAAACACCAGGACCAGACATTGTCCTTGTGATTTGTGTATTCTCATCAAACCACAGAAACAGACGGAGCAGAGGGATGCCATTCAGTATATTGTGTCTCTCCCTGCTTCCTGAATGAATTATCCAATTAGTTCTAGACCCCTGTCTTTTCTCCATCATCTTACAATTTCATACCTTTGCATGTCTATATCAAAATATCTTTCTGGTCAATTTTATCCCTCATTCAACATTGCTCATGGTCATTGTCACATTGTTATTTAGAGTCATAGAGCTGTACAACATGAAAACAGACACTTTGGTCCAACCCATCCATGCCAACCAGACACCCTAAATTAATTTAGTCCCAATTACCAGCATTTAGCCCATATCACTCTAAACCCTTCCTATTCATATACTTATCAGATGCCTTTTAAAAGATGTAATTGTACCCGCCTTTGTTGACCAACTGTGCACAAATTGTCTACCTTGTTTCCCATACGACAATATTAAGTATGCTTCAAAAACTAGAATTCATTGTCTGTAAAACGTTTGAGACACATTGTGGTTGTAAAAGGCATGACATAAATGCAAAATTTTCTTTTATTTGGGTATGCTTCCAGTCAGTGCATTCCTGATCACAGTTATTTGCTGCATAAATAATTTCTGTCATCTCTCCTCTAGTGTTTTTGCTCATAAACTCAAAATCATTTTCTCCTGTTGCACGGATCCTATTTCTAGTGGAAGCAGTTTCTCCTCATTTACATGAGCAAAACGCTTTCATGATTTTGAATATCTCTATTAAGTTAACCTTTTGACAAGAAGAGAACACTTCCAGCTACTCTAACTTCTGGGAACATAGGAACAAGGGGTAGGCCATTCAGCCCATTCTGACATTTAAAATCACCATGGCTCATCGAACACTTTGATGTTTTAAACACACATCCACAGAACCAATTCTGCCATTGGTAATCTGAAATCTATCAACCTCTTCTTTAAATATGAACAGAGACTGAACCGTCCTCTCGGGTAAAGAATTCTAAAGATTCACAAACCTCAGAGTTAGAAGAAAACTCCTCATCTCAATCCCAAACAGTATATAAAATTATGCCCCCTCGTTCCAGACCCCAGAACCAGGGGAAACGTACTGCATTAATCCTGTCTATCCCTTTAACTATTGTGTAGATTTCAATGCAATCGCCTCTCATTCTTCTAAACTCTACAGGCTCGGTCTCCTATCCTTCTTTATAAGACAGTCTCGTCAACATGGGAACAAGTCTGATTACCGTTCATTAGACTCTCTGTAGCAATAATATCCTTTCTGAAGTAAGGAGACTAAAACTTCAGATGTGGTCTAAAACACCTTCTAAACAATTGAAACAGGACTTCAGTACGTCTATACTGAAATCTTCTGACAATAAATGCTAACATTCCGTTAGCCTTCCGAATAGCTTGCTACACCTGCATGTTCACCTTCAGTGACTTACTGACAAAGACACCTTGGTCCCTTTGTACATCCTATACTTTCCAACCTCTTACCATTTAAGAAATACATCTGTCTGTCCTTCCAAAGTGGACAGCTTTTTCACATTGTATTCCATCTGCCATATTCTTGCCCTTTGCCAAGCCCATACAAACTCCTGGAGGCACGTTGCATCTTTCTCACAACACACATTCCAACTCTGTCTTGCATCATCTTCAAA